ATAAATTCTCTTAAAATAAGATAAATGCATTCGCGAGTATTAAAACAAATTTAAACATTTTTTCTAGCCAGCGGACCCCTTACTATTGAAGAACATCGAAAATAAGGAGATCTGGTTTTTTAAATCGGCTAATATTTAACCGCGCGCCGTTGCATTGAAGTTTTCCATACATATACTTTGAACTATATTTTTTCATGGAATTGTTCAAATTTTATGGTCAAAAAATAATATTTTTCCTCATAAATCTTTAAAACATAAAACTGTCATGCATGTGTATTTTATTTTTTGAAACCTTCTGAAGTTACTTATTCTTAGATTATCAAAAAATATTTATTTTAAACTTCAAAGCCGTGCCTCCGGATCACCGTATTTTCGATATTAATGTCTTTAAAGATGTAATTTTTTATCAATGTCAAGTAAATTCGATTTCTTGTATTCAAAACATTTAGAAGTTTTAGAAAAAATTCTAAAACGCCATGGCAAATATTCGAGTGTACTTCTTGTCCTTCCTTTGTAAGCAAAATGAAAAATGATAATATTTCTCAGCGTACATACAGTTGCTGCCAGTCAAAAGAAGCAGCTCAACGAAAGAAAGTATTTTGTTAATAATCGTAAAGTTTTTCGTGTCAAACAATTTTTGTAATTTTGTTTTTTTTTTGTATTCATAGTTGAATAAAATTCCAGGCTTTGTACAAAAACTGGGAAAACTCAATAAAATTTCCATTAATTTTCATGAAAATTTCCAGCTTGTTTATTAGACTTTTTTGAAATAATTGGAATGTTAGTGAAATAAGTTTGAAGTTTCTTCAAGTTACCATTAATATTTGAAATTTTTTTGTGTCGGAGACAGTTCACATAAAAAAATAAAATCAAAAATCTACGGTAATTTGTATTTAGCTACTTCAAACTTTCATCATATTCTGCTTAAACTCAAAGGGCTACAAAATTGTATACCCAAAATATTTCTAAAGAATTTAATCAAAAACCTGGAAATTTTCATGAAACCTAATGAAAATTTCATCGAATTTTCCTAGTTTTGTACAAATGTACATGCATGCATATATATATTCACATGTACATACGTTTTCAAAAGTTTCCAACTGAAAGATCAATGAGTTAACACTCAAAGAGTTGGAAAATTATGCATGAAAATTGATTAAGCACTAATGGGGGCATTTAAGCTGTAACAAACACAACGGTATAGAGAAGAGTTTGTAAAATGAAAAAGAGATATTCAAGATGAAATTTCATAGTATTTAACTACAATTGAAATGCTGCAAAAATTGCCTGAGCTAGTTAGTAGAGTAAAACAAGAGAGAATAGAATAAATTCAGCCTTATCATGAATTTCATTTTCACTTTTCAATTTTGGTTTCCATGTATTTACTATGGGGGATTTAAAATTTTCGGGTGAATTTTTTTTTTGGGCCACACTCAGGATAAGGCAGCGAAATGGATCGGTGATAAAAAGTTGGCTTACAAAAAGCGAAAGACCTACTTTAGTAAAAAAGCTTAGTAAAAAATTATAGAGAAAAGGATATAGATAGAGACCCAGACCCTCAACTTGGGAACTATTTTGGGATTTTAAAGATTTTCGTAAATCTCTGGACTTATCGATATAACAGTCGATAGTTTTATTGATTTTGTTATCGAAGTTTTTATCGATATTGTTATCGATTTTGGTATCGATATTTTCGGAACTTGTGGATATAATAATTGATATTTTTATCGACTTTGTTATCGATTTTTTAATCGATATTTTTAACGGTTTTGTTTGCGATATTGTTATTATTTTTGTTATCGATTTTGATATAGATTTTGTTAACAATTATTTATCAAATTATTATCGATTGTGTTATCGATGTATATATCGATTTTGTTATCGATGTTTTAAGAAATTTTGTTATCGATTTTGTTATCCATATTTTTAATTATTTTGTTATCAATTTTGTTATAGCTATTTATCGATTTTGTTATCGATATTGTTATCAATTATTTATCGATTTTATTATCGAATTTGTTATTAGTGTTTCTATCAAATTTGTCAGCGATATGTTTTATCGATATTGTTATTGATTTTTTATTGATTATTTATCGATTTTGATGACAGTTGTTTATCGATTTTCTTATCGACTATTTATCGATTTTATTATCGATATTTTTGTAGACAATTTGTATAGATTTTCTAATAGATTTTTGTTATCGATATTTTAATGGATTTTCTGATCGACTTTGCTACCAATAAGATTATCGATTTTGCTATCAAAATTTTTGTCCAATTTGTCATCGATTTTGTTATCGATATTTTCGTCGGTTTAATTATCAATATTTTGTCGGATGTTACTATCGATTTTGTTATCGATAGAATATAAAGATAAAGATGAAGATAAAGGAAAACAGAATACCAAAAATGTTATTAGAACGAACACGGGTAAAGATAGGGGTCTAGATAGAAAAAAAGAAAAAAATTTAACTTTAAGCAAAAGCAGATAGAAAAAAGAGAAAAAATATAACTTTAAGCAAAAGCTACAGGTGTATGTACATACGTACATTTTGCCATGCAAAAATTACTTTCAGCGTTTTCCTAATTATCAAGGTATTTAAAAAACTGATATTTCATGCCATGACTTCATGAAGAATCGCCACCTTGATGCCTTTAAACCAGACAGGGTTTTATCAGGCCCGAGTAGTGATTCAGCTACTACAAAACTATATCAGAATTTAAGCTTTCTATATCGATATCGTATTCGCAATATTAATTGAGTTTCTCGACAGTTTTTGCTTTTGCAAAATTGGAAAAAGCCGAAAAGACCAAAAGGTAGAAGCTATGGCTATTCCCGAAATTAGTTATAAAAACATATATCTAGTCTTCAGTGCGATTGTGCTGACTTGGGCATTCGTACAAACTATTTGCGATAATTATCAGTATACATGAGCGAAAAATGAAAGCAAGCGCGCCCACGAATACAATGGAATGACCAAGTGGAGAAGTACTTTTTCTGTATTCGGAAAGAGCGACAAAGAAAGTCAAATGGGGCAGTGGTATTTGGTCTCTGCTGGTAGAAGTTGGTACACATTGGATAATTTATACTCATTTAGGATAAATGAAAGCGAAAAATGGTGCTACCAAAGCAGCTGGATTTTCGCCTCAGGGATTTTTAATGTCAAAATGATGAATTTGTTGTAATTATTATGTCACTTTGCGTAAAATTTTTTAGTGGCATTTTTGTTTTTGAACTTCTGCTGTCACCTTATTATATGAATTCACCTAGGAATAAATTGTATTGTATAATTTTTTGTTCAGGAAAAAGGTAAAATATTACTATTCATAGATACACAGATTAAATAATACAAAATGTTATCTCTTAGGACAATAGTGTAGGGTTGCCACTTATTTTCGATTCTACACAATTTATCTAAAGCATAGCAGTAAGGACATCCAATGAAAGGTATTGTTGAGAACTGTGGTTAGAAAGTATTTACCATCAGGGTTGCCACGTTTCTATGTAATACAAACTTTTATTTTGTCAATTTCAATCAATATTTTTTTTTTATGTATACACAGTATATATACGATCAAAAGATATGTACCATCAAAAGATATGTACCATCCATTCCAGAGTATTTCGCTATAGGGCTGCCACATAAATTTTATAGCAAGAATTTGCTCAATAGATATGGAAATACTTTTTTTTTTGTTTATTTCCAAAGTATTTTTTTTAAGCTATCCAAATCATGAAAACTACATGCACTTCGGGCAAAGCTCTGTCAACCTGGTACTAAAACAATAATACATTCAACAAAAACGCATAAATATGTAATACATACAAGTGGACCCGAATGGTGGCATCAGTGATCGAATGAAATACGATTCGAATCGAACGAAACAAAATGACAGCTGTTTTCTCTAAAATATATTTTGAACTGAAAACAGCTAACTCGCTACCAAAGGCTGTAAAGAAAATTTCGAACCGAATTTGATTCGATCACGGATGCCTTGATTCTGGCCCCATTTTACATTAAAACAAACAATTACTCTGCACTTAAAAATTCTTTGAAGTTTTGAAATGTTTTAAGTTTGCACACCATTCGTTTGGCAGTCTCCCACAAAGAAAAAGTATTGACAACGAAAAGTATTTCCATAAATAGTTGATAGAGATACAATTTCACTTTTAAATTGGTTATGGTCAGTGTTAACTTTTCGTAATTATTTTAGTTATAATCCATGTTAAAATATGTATGCTTTCTTTCGAGAAAATATTGATCGATTTTTAGTCTTTGTTGGCAAAAATGGTAGAAAATAAAATACAGCTAAAAAATACGTACATCTACCAAGAAAGTGGTAAAGTCCGTGCACTATACTAGAGTACTACATAAAAAACAAACCACTTCCACCACTTCCATTTTAAAATTAGTGAGATTTAAAAAGGAGCAATTTTTATAGTTAAAGAAACACTGAACTAAATTTTGATGAAAAATCGTTTAGGCATTTCTGCGCAGCCATGATTCTTATGCTGAGTTTTCACTATGCATTAAATGACAAAATTTTTAATAACAATATTGGGCATTAGAAAATACAAGTACCAATATGTACATATAAAGAGTCATTATATCTTTTTCCGCATGGAATTTTTTAAAGGAAATACCGTTTTGCCATTGTAATGCCTTGTGGTAATTCAGCATTACCGAAAATATACCAGATTGGTAAAAAAATGTAACCTATATATGTTGCTGTGATGGCAGATACTTAATTTGATATTATATAAAAAAGCACATATTTATACCCTCAGGACTACTGCCCCGGCACTTTCATAATTACTCGCAATCCGACCCCAAATGTGCCCTCGGAAATTTAGAGCAACCTTTAAGAAACATCTTTCATTTGCAATATAAATTTATACCTAGGTACTTGTCCTAAAAAATTTTTCATTTACACCCATTAGTTATTTGTTTTGACTATCATAAATTGTAATTCATTTTCTGGTTTACTTTGCCTTTCAGCTGGAATTTCGGCACGTTTGTTTGCGATTTGTGGAACAGTTTGGATGTATACTTCTCAACCGCGAGCATTTTGCATTTGTGCTGCATATCCGTGGATAGGTGAGTACTTGCATACCTAAAATATATAAAAAATGCACTGAATACTTGTATTATTTACATTGCCACCACATATACAAATATTCAGTCCAAGTTAGGAATCATATTATAGTCTGAAGCATGATAAAAATATAGTAAGGTAGAACCGCTGAGAGTCACTTTTAAAATACTTGGCGTTTCCAAACAATTTAATTTTTAAATTTACTCACAAACTCACACACATCATTTTCATTTTCAATCTCAAGCAACAACAATTTCGAACAATTTCAATTTTTTATTTTCCCTTTAATGTGATTTTAAAATTTTTGCAAACTTCAAAAAAAAATCATGGCCGACAAATTGAGAGAACGGTTCTACCTTGTTATGTTTTCATCATGGTCTGAAGTATGACACGGCATACACGGTGCGTCTGACTCGCGAGTCGGTTTGGATGTGTTCGTGAGATTAAATATGTGTTACACCGACATGACTCTGGCCGGACTCTGAGGTATTCAACTGTGTGTAGTCGAAAGGCGAGTCAGCTCGTACATAAATGACTACCGTCTATGGTGCCTATTTTAAATCTGTTAATATTAATAAACTTTTACTTCTACGTGAACTTTGTTACTTTTTTTTCAACTCAGAATTTATGACATCAAAAGAGTCCGAAATGAGTCAGTCAACCAGACCGGTCTTAGAATCATTTTCATGTCGAAAGAAATACTCATTTTAGACTTATAAATTCTGAGCACTCCGAATATTATTTAAGGGGATGTATGTAGCTTATTGCGACTATTTGACAAACCATAAATTGGACAGCCATAACTTTAACTACTCACCTCATTGAAACTTTCGTCTTAACGTTTGCCCCACATATTCGCTGTTTAGTTCCAACTATTTCGAGCATCTCGAAGGATGTCCGGCTTGCGGTTTCAACTTTTGTTGTAACCACTACAAACTGTCATTGCCAAAACCACATAGGCAGTTCCATATTCGCAAGAGAATAGAATTTCTGCATTAATCAACAAAATATCTCAGTAGGCGCGCATGGACTGCATATGCGCTTACACATACATATATTCCTGTTTGGCCTCTCCTCTCCTCCGATTTGTTGCGTGCGCCTTGATGTTGTCCTACAAAGGGGAAGGACCTACAATTTTACGCCAACTTCGAACGGCGATTGTAATTTTATGAGAAGCTTTTTTTCATGACAGAAATACCGCTGTTAAGAAATAACCTTTTTTCAAAATTTTTTGCGATGTTTCTTTGACCATGGCTTAAGCCCAGGCACTGCGGAGTGGAAGCGCGCACTGCTTACCCCTACACCACAGCGGCATATATTAGAATATGTGTATATATACAAACACATGTATATGTATACCTACATATGTATGTATGTACGTACATTAAGGTGGTCAAAAAAAAATTGCCAGATACCGGGGCACCTTCCCAAATTTATCCTCTTGCCGAATGAGGTGCTGGCAGCAAACTATACTTTTTTAAGTATAAATTTAGACGATGCTCATGAAACGTTTATATTTTACTCTAGAAGTATATTGTACACATTTCAGCCAAACGATTGGTTAAGCAACCTAAGAATATTTAGAATATTTCAAATTTGAAAAATATTACAAGCTCAGTTGTCTTGTCAACAGTGGCTCTTTAAAAAGAAATCACCAATACTTTTGCAAAAGGAATTCAGAAACGCATTTCGAGGTCATTGAGCATCCAGTATTGGTTACAGTAACTGAAAGGTGTTATAGATGTTACAGATATCAAAAGGGTAAAACTGATGGGGTGCCCGTTTTCTACGATGGCATTTTTTCCCCATACAAAACCTAGACCATTCTAACACAGATGTGTATTTGAGTGGCCATATCCTGCGAAAATCTTTGGACCACGTGGTCCATTTTTGGCATATTGGAGTACTTACAAAATACTGCTATGAAATGCAATAGCGGACCAACTCGGGTCTCTACACCAGTACCCGATTATTGGGCTATGTACTCCATGGATTAACCCCATGGAGAAGTGTTATGCTAATCTGTATTACAGAGCTGGAGTTCAGGTTTCAGGTAATTTTGCTGTACATCTCTATCTGAACTTTTGCGAATCATTTCACTCTATTCCTGTATTATATTTGACAATGCTCAAAGTCGCCACCATCACCTACTAATATGTTCAAATGTGCACTCACATAGTGATTGGTGAAAGCTGATTAGCACACCTAATCAGCGGCGCTGTGTCATTTAGTGTGTATTTTATGTGTACTACAGATGCTTTAGCTGTTGTTGTGCCTAATTTTGATAATATACTTTTACGATTACCATAATATTGTAAGCCATTACAATATTTAAGTAGCCCTTCAAGGATAATGTCCTTATGTTTGTAAGTGAAGCAAAAGACAGTTTTGTTAGATATCACTTTTTTGTTTTCAATTATCCATCAATTTGATTCATGGCAGTTTATAAACCAACCACTTTTATATCATCGATGGGCACGCATTAGCTCGTATCCGCCAAATGCAATAAGTTTCTTCGTTTTTTGTGAAGTATTCGGACTAACTTATACGAGGTATTGCATTTTTCGGATACGAGGTACGATATAACATACATTTTTCGATAACAGATAGGATTATACCTCAACCTTTTTCTATTAGCTTCATACCACTGAGCCATAGTCGGTGGTGGCAACAGGCTATACCGCAGGAGAGCATGTTAAATAGGGTAAAAATTCTACCGTTTCATCACCGCCTACAACTTGAAAAAGGCATGATTAAACCGGCAGACTTTTCCTTTCAGTTACGTATTAGTCTACAGGAACATCTTTTGAAATTCGTGATTCTCTGTTGCATTTCAAGTTGGACATTTTGGATGGTAGTACCCGAGTAAGCAAAGTTCTCTTATCTTCAAAATTAAAGTGGTTAAGTGTGACTTAGTTGGGCGACTGTTCCTTACGTTCACTTTCAGATCAGTACGCTTTACTTCAGAATAAAAATCGAGGAAAGCTCTGCTCACACAACTGCTGTCATCAACAAAGTATGTAGCCGCATCAAGGTCCCAAGTCGCTCGCCGGAAGTACTTTGGGCAAAGACAAAGAAACGTTGCTGGAAATATACAAGACAATTGACCGACCGGTTCTCAATTATGCTGCACCTGTTTGGTCCCCAGAAACTAGTTGGACGCAGTGGAGGCGGCTACTGACGTGTTGCCGCACTCCGGACAGCGACAGGATGCTGCCTTCTGATGTTGCCTGAGCACCACCTGCATAACGGGAGCATAACGAAATTCTCAGTGGGAGTGTCACAGACGTGAAAATCCCCTTGCTCGAGAAGGAGCGTCCGCATCATGCATTCACGAAGCACTTGGCCCGATGATGAGTGTCCGGTATATGGAGACTGCCCACACCAACCCAACCACCTCTTCACGTCCCTGCTCAATCCCACCCAACTAACACGCCTCTACTTTTGGTCCGACCCCGACGAAATAGATCACTTCTTGGGCCTATCATTAATTGAGCTTAAATACAGCGATTGACGAACAAACCGATTCAGGCGGGATTCATTAGTCATAATTCATTGGTCACATACTGCAAACCGCCGAATGTCTAACAATATTTTCTCACATTATTTTTGTTCTATTTTCGCATTGCACCCGGGAGACAATTCTCTTGCCATGAAATTGTGAAGTGGAAATGAAAATTTAAATTGTCCATTTCATTAACATCCATAAAAGAATTATTTGGTAAATTATTTTGAGTTTAAGACTCACAGCCACAAAACTTTATGAAAAAGTATTCACAGTTAAAATTTCGTGAAATTAAGAAATTTGATATATTTTATACTAAATACAAAATAAAATTAAAAGTAATTGCAAATAGAAACAATTTGATTCACCTACACTAAGAAACAATAGTACTAAATCTCTTAACCAAATTTGGCAAGAGTGTTAAGCCCTTAAATTTCTCAGTTCTTATTCTCAAAATAATTTCTTTTCAAGCGGTTTTTTCAATCAATTTGCAACGCTTGCTCACGGAGAGATTTCTCAAGCAAAGATTTAATTAGGTATGAACATATATATGTATACCAAATTAAACTAACCGCTAGGTGATGCCCAGCAGAGGTGCACGCAGTCAACACGCGGGGACCTGCGAGCTCGCTAAAATATTATGCTTCCATGCTAATACGAGCAACTTACCCATATGAGTTGGTTTGAGCATCACTAAACTAACCAATTGTCCACATACATACATATGTACCTACCTACATACATACACACATAGAAAAGGTGAGAGGAACATTCCAATATGTATCAGGTGAAATTGAAACCTTGTCAAAAATCACCTATAGATCAAATTTAAATTTCGCTTGTCAAAAATCTGTCAAAAAACTTTAATCTTATTATTAGCATACATGAAAATGTACATAAGCATATATATATACAGTATCGGCCATATCTATAGCACGCCATTTCAAAGTGATATTGTGTGCCACTCAGGGGCGCACCCAGGAATATATTTTAGGGGGGGTTTTATATTTCTGAAGATATATCACCGGAAAATACTGTAAATTTGCTTCAGATAATACCCTCTTTAATATACTTTTATGCACGTTTTATGTACAGTATGTAATAAATAAATAAACGTTTTAAAATTCATAAACTGCACTTTATTTACAGATTAACAGAACTCAAACGCTTTTAACCGACTTAAAAAAAAAGGGAGGTTATCATCTCGCCGGAATACATAACATTGGACCACGTGAACCGTTTTCAATAATCCTTTTTTTATTAGAAAGATAGTACCTCAAGGTTCGTCCCGTAATTTGTTTTAGAGATCCGATGATTGGATCATGAAGAAATTAACGGTACCCCTAAATTTGATTATGAGAATTGAAGTCGGTTGTGTTCTTTCCTTAAAAACTACTTGCTTAATAAAAAGTTCTATAAACTCAAGATGCGCTCAACTTTCAAAAGTACCTAATAAAAAATTTTAAAAAAGATCAGTAAAAATAAATTTATTGATTC